CACACACACCATATTTTGCTTATTCATTCACAATGGACAGTGGGATGTTTCCACGTTTTGACTATTGGGAATAATGCCACTGTGCACATGAATGTACAAATATCTCTTTGAGGCCCTGCTTTCAGTTCATTTGAGTGTATACCTAGAAGTAGAATTGCTGGATCATATAGTAATTCTATTTTTAATTTTTTGAGGACTGCCATAATGTTCTTACAGCAGCTGAACATTTTATAGTCCCACCAACAATGCATAAGGATTCCAGTTTCTCCACATCCTCACCAATACTTACTATTTTTTGCTTTTTTGATAGTAGCCACCTTATTGGGTGTCAGGCATATCTCTCAGTCTATCCTTCATGTCTCTTAACTACCTTTTCACACCTTAAAAAATCTCTTTTTGCTGAGTTCTGTGTGGATTCTTTAGAGTTGTCTTCAAATTCCCTAATTCTCTCTTTGACTGTGTATGTCCTAGACTGTGTCTCATATTTGAGATTTTATTTCTGTGACTATATTTATTCTTCATCAACTGTCCAGTTGATTTTTGTACATATGCACTTATTCTTGTTTCTTTATTCATTTTTTAATGGAAGCATTTCTTCCTTTACTCCTAAAAGTCCTTGACATTCTTATTTTGAAGTCTTTCTCTTTCCTACTCAAACTCATTCCCCTGGAGAGCATTGAACAGGTGGATAATTCCCACATTTAGATCTCCAGCTTGGGCTTCTCTCCTCAAATCCAGACTCATGCCCAACAACTTCACTTAGATGCTTAATATGCATCTTAGTCCAAGCACGTCCTGAACTCCTGATCGTCTCCTCAAACAGCCGTTCCCCCATCTCTGTTAGTTGCTCACATGAAACCTTGGAACTGCTCCTAGTAAAAACCTTGGAATGTTCTCGACTCCTCTTCCTCTCAAATCCTGTCCCTTCTACCACAAGGTGCCCCTGGACTCCAGCCACTTCCCACCTCCCCCACCACCCTGCCCTGGCCCAAGACACTGTCATCTCCGGCCTGGTTCATGGTGGTGGCCTCATAACTGAGCTTCCTGCTCAGCCCAGGCCTCGCCCGCTGCTGCTTTCCACCCACTCACTCGGCCCTGCCCCACTCCCTTGCAGCTCTTGCCTCTGCCCAGGTCAGCGGTTCTCAAAATGCAGTCCACGGACTCCTGGGACCTGCAGAGTTCACAAGAACGAAACTGTTTTTATGCTAATTCCAGAATGTCATTTGCCTTTCCTACCACATTGACATGTGCACCGATGGTGCAAAAGGAAAGGTGGTAAAATTGTCAGCTCAGAGTACAGTCAAGACAGGCCCTGATTGTACAGGCAGCGGCGTATTCTCCACACCACACGCTTTAGGAAACAGACAGACAGACAAACAAACAAACAAAAAATGCCACATTCACTCAAAAATGTCCTTGATGGAGCAGTAAAGATTAATTTTGTCAACCTTTGATTCTTACATATGCTTTTCTAATATTCTGTGTGATCAAATGAGATGTATGTTGCATGCTGAAGTATAATGATTATCTTGAGCAACAGCATGTGTACAGGGGTTTGAGTTGTCAGTTCAACTAGCCATTCTTTTCACACACCACCATTTTTGCTGAAAAGAATGACTGTCCGACTGGAGTTATTCACACTGGTATTTGGCAGGCGTCTTCTCAAATATGAGCTGCCTTTTTAAGGAGAACAATTGACAGTATCTGATGTCAGTTGCAAAATTCGAGCTTTGAAGCAAAAAACTGAATTTTGCAAACTTCTCTCTACCATCATGAGCTTTTCAGCCTCCCAATACTTACTTAGTTTTTAATGAGATTAATGATAATATTACCCAGTGTGGTTTTTTTAATGTGGTATAATACAGTGTGTCAGCATTTGGAAGATCTGCGTAGTGTAACAAACAGTATTTTCCAAATGACCAATGCGTCATGTGACTAAATCACACAAGAGTAGTAAATAACCCAAGTGCAAGGTAGACCAATTGATTTTACTGTAACAGAGTATGACAAGTTCATGTTTAGTTCAGTTCCACGTGGCACCTCATCTTTAAGAAACTACCACTTGTCACATGGTAGTTGAATGGTGTCACGGCAAAGAATAACCAAAATACCTTAAAAAAAAAAAGCTATTAAAATGCCTGTCCCTTTTCCAGCTGCCTATCTGTGTGAAGCTCACTTACTTCATTTGCTTCACCCAAACAATGTGATGCAACAGAGTGAATACAGGAGCAGGCATGTGAATCCAGTTGCAATCTGTTAAATCAGTACAGAGATTTGCAAGAACATTACACAAGGTCACTCTTTCCACTGAATTGTGAGAAATACAGCTTCTGTTCATAAAAATACTTCTGTTAATTTGTAATGGGGTTATTGTTGTTCTTAAATGTCTTTACATTTTCTTAGTATTAATCTCTAATGTAGTGGAATATTAACATATATAAAATGTTTATATCCCATGTAAGCAAAGTTCTTTAATGTCCTCAATAATTTTTTAGGGTATAAAGGAGTGTTAAGACCAAAGCATTTGAGGGCCACTGCATGGACTGAAGCCATGCTGTCTCCCTACACCTCCACGACCCTCTTTCAGGTCCTCGCCTCTTTTAGGTCTTTTCCACGTGTCACATTCTCATCAAAACCTTCCTCAGCCACCTGATTACAGTTGCAGTGCCCCGCCCAGGGAGCGTCTTGTCCCGGGTTGGTGGCTCGTTGCTCAGCACAGGGCTGTCCCCTCCCAGCACCCTCTACCTACTTTCTTGTCCACTGTCTTGTGTCCCCACTGGATCAGAAGCTCCCCTAGCAGAGGGGGTTTGTCTCTTCTCTTTGTGGCAGTCTCCCTGCTGCCCAGAACAGGGTCTGGCACAGAGCAGGTTCTCAGCGAGTGTAAACGACACAGCCAGGGTTGGGGGTCAGGGCTTGGTGTCAGTCATGTCAGGTGTGCAATGGCGAGGTAACCGGAGGTAGGTCTGCAGGAGAGGGCTGGAGAAGTTACTGTGAGGTCCCTGGGGTGGGGAGGACACGTGCAGCCCCAGGAGGGGTCGTGTTCCCTAGGTTGCAGTCACCCTGACAAGGGAGGAGTCCACGGGCCAAGCATGGAGCCCCCCAGCATGGAGGCTTGTGTCCCAGTGTGGGCGGCTGATGCTGGGGTGGGGTCGGGCGGCTCCCCCGAGAGAGGCCTCCTCTGTGCGGGGACGGAGCCCGTTCATGCAGAGGCTCTGGTCTTTCTCCCCACTGTAGCCAACATGGCAGCAGCCATTGGCGGCTTCCTCTACTTCTTCACCTACATCCCGTACTTTTTCGTGGCTCCTCGGTACAACTGGATGACCCTGAGCCAGAAGCTCTTCTCCTGCCTCCTGTCTAACGTTGCCATGGCGATGGGAGCCCAGCTCATAGGAAAGTTCGAAGCGAAAGGTGAGCACATTCCTTCTCACAGGCTACCCTTGCTGACTCAGCTGCCTGGGGAGGGCCCAAGCCCAGGAGCCTCCAGCCCTGAAACTCTAGCACCAGTGACAATCAGACACATCAGCGTGGCTAAATGAGCAATGCAGTATGTTCGGAAGGCAGGCCCTTGGGGATAGGAAGGCCCACAGCCAGGGCAGAGGTGGGTGGGCAGTGACGGGAGCCACAGCAGGGGAGGGGGGCAGTCAAAGACACAGCAGTTCAGAGGACAGAGAGTTAAAGTGTCCAGTGCGACATCGGCCACCACCTTGTTGGTGCAGTCCTGGCTCTGAGCTCCCCTCAAGGCCCTGCCTGGAACCAGCCGTTACTACAGAAAAACACAGGACGTGGGCGTCTACATCTGCCGATGGTGGGATTCAGCTTGATTATGTCTGTGTCTTTGCCTGCCCCTTGGGGCACTGGGAGTTAGGACTCTAGATGTCTCAAAGTCTGCAGGTTTACACCAGCTCCTAGCTCTTGGTAAAGTGCTAGAATTAACATCTCCCCTCTTCCTGTTCCTCCCATACCTCCTGCAGTAATTGGTGATGAGGGCAAGGAGGCCTGAGAGAGGAACAAGTGACAGACCAGAACATTGTTTTCTTGATTTTTGTGAAATTTACTAATTTTTAAAATGTCATGGGGGTGAAGTGAAACACTTCTGGGGCTGACGTTGGCCTGGGGGCTCCCATTTTGCAAACCCTGCAGTAGATGCTCAGATCTCAGTTGAAGGAGTCAAGCCTGCTCCTCTGAAGGGTTGCCCCTTGACCCCTCACCTGCTGCCAGATCTCCAGAGGGGGAGAGCTCATCTCTTAGGGGAAGGCCCTTTTCATTTCCAGATCACTATACCCCTCATGGAAGGGCAGTACAGAAGCGAGTGGATTCAGGCACGGCCCTGCCTCCTTCTCGCCTGCCTTGGTTCTAGAGGAGGCGGGGAGGGATGAGTTTCTGGGTGGCTAGTCCTGTACTGGCCTCTGTCTCCCTGGAGCTTCGGCCTCTTGTTCCAGCTATATGAGCAGGAGGGGAAATGCAGTCTCCCCTCTAAGTGACTGCCCTGAGTGCTTTTAAGGCGGTCTCAGCCCTGCCCATCCAGATGTTCTCTTGCGGATTGAATGCTCTCATTTCTTACAGCCATGCAATTCCTAGTTGTTGCAAGTTTCTAGCTCTGGGTCTAAGGGAGGAGGTAGGTGAGTGGCCACAGGAACCTTCAGAATCAGAAAAAATTATGATTAGGGACTTTATCCTTAATCAGAATTTTTTGATTCAGTTGGCAATGTCTTCTGACACTGGGGCTTCAAATATATATGTTTCTTGGTGCTCAGTAGTGTGCGATAAAATGTAAGCTTCCTAAATGCACAGTCCCTTCCAGGGTTTAAGTGGTTTTTAAAAAGTCATTTACAAACAGGAATCTGACTGTATGGTGCCTCTTGGTTTTCAAAGTTCTCTACTGAGTTTTCTTAAAATAGACAAGTTTCTAGTTATTTGAAAGTGGGCAGTGATCAAGGCTAGAGAGCAGCCATTTCCATCAGGGGCCCTCGAGCCAACATAAGGTGGTCCAGCCACACAGAATCGCCAAGCATTGTTTGGACTGTGATGTTGCAAATCAGAGAGAAGACAAAACACCCTGAGCACAACTAAATAGAGCTTTATGTATGGCTGGAATATTTCTGAATTTTGAAAGGACTTAGGTTAAATGCAACCTATTCCAGTGTTGGCCTCACACAAATCACGTACGTGTACGAGTGTATATGTACACATGTACATGTGTCTGTGTGTGTACATGTGTACTGTGTAGATGGGTATGTGTGTTCACGTGTATATGTGTTGTAAATCAAACATGAGCCCCTCTCCTCAGTTTTCCATAACATTAATTTGGTGACTCGCTCTTATCTGAGAGACCTAAAGAAAGTCCTCAGATCTGCGTAAAAGCAGGAAGCCCTCTTACTGACTTTGCACTGACGCTCGCAGCTTTGCCATTGGCAGCCAAGGGTCTGTTTCAGGCCAGTTTCCTGGCATGTCTTCCAGGCACAGGCATCCAGTGGCAAGACCTCCTGAGTCCTGTCAACGTGGACGACGACTTCTCCTTTGGCCAAGTGCTGGGCATGCTGCTGCTGGACTCTGTCCTCTATGGCCTGGTCACCTGGTACGTGGAGGCCGTCCTCCCTGGGCAGTTCGGCGTGGCCCAGCCCTGGTACTTCTTCATCATGGTGAGTTCTGACGCCCCTGCTCTTCACGCAGCCACCTCTTTGGGGGTGGAGGTGATCCCAACACCCACCCTGGGCCCCCCTAGTCCCTGACAAGAGACACCTCCCCTGTATGCTGTCTGGAGCAGCATGTCGTGGAGGTCCCAAGGTGATTCCTGCACCACAAGGTCCAAGAGAAGGAGCTCACGCTGGCCCACCATCCACAGGGCCAGCACACAGCCCATCCCAGCCTCCTTTCTCAAAAAATGTCCTGTTGGGTTTTCTGCCTACAAAGTAACAGACCTTCTTGTAAAAGTGATCACATGGTAGTGGGGAGGGTATAGCTCAGTGGGTAGAGCACATGCTTAGCATGCACAAGGTCCTGGATGCAATCCCCAGTGCCTCCATTAAATAAAAAAAAAAACCTAATGACCACTCCCCAAAATAAATAAATAAAGATAATAGTTTTAAAAGTTTATTTTAAAAAATTTTAAGTGATCACATTCAAAAATAACAATAATAAAAGTGAACACATTGCTGGAGTATACAGCACAATCCCACCACCCAGAGGGGAGCGCTGTTGCTGCTTTGGGGTGTTAAGTCTTCAGATGTTTTTATGTCTTATAGCACGCATGTATGTGTAGATAACATATATACATTTGTCTTTAGGAAAAGGGGGTCTTACTGTAAAAATGCTTGAAACATGCATTGGTTTTTTTTAACTGAACAGTACATTTTAGATTTGTTAAGTATGCATACCTATGGGTCTATTTATAAGTATGGTTTTAGACTTTTATCTATGCATGTTCATAAATTTTGTTTTATTTATTTATAAATATATTTATATTTAAACATACACATTTTTATTAGCCAGCTTCATGTTCAGTGACCGCACAGTATTCGGTGGATGTGTCACCATGTAGTTAACTCATTCCCTGTCAATGGTTAGCTCACTGCCATGTCGCTGTTCATTCTTCGATTCAACAAATATTCATCAAACACCCACTTACCGTATTTCATCAAATCTAAGATGGCACTGATTCTTACAAGCACCGTTACCTTATCACTAAGAAAGAAAAATACTGATAAACTATGGCATTCCGTGATTTATCACACATTCTGATTTCAGAGCCTCTTTAAACGTGAGACATGTTTTAAAGCCAATGGAACGTGATATGTCAGAACTATTCCCGGCCGTGAAAGTGCACGGGGAATATAGCTGTGGGTTAGACACTCTCCACCCCTCAGGGCTCCCCTCCAGGGAGAGTTTTTTCAGGGCCCCGGTCTCACATCTCCTGTGACCCCCCACACCACCAGGTCATCTGTGTGCGTCTAGAAGCTCACGGGCCACCCTCAAGGGTGGTGCCTGTCCTGTGATGACCAGACCCTGCAAGGGGAGGCTTCCTCCCAGCAGAGGGAGGCCGGCCCTTGGGCTTCTCTCGCTTATCCCATGAGCTCCTGTGCAGCTAAGTAAGGTTGCAGCCGGGGTGTGGAAAGAGTCTCCATGTTTTGCCCCAGCAGCACTCTGGCCTGGAACATGTACTGACCTGTCTTTGTGCTCAGTTTCATCGTTTACTTTCCCTCCGTATCATGCTGAGGTGCAGTGCACAGTACACCTGTGAGTTACCATTATGCCCTCTGGCAGAAGAGGAAACTGAGGCTTGGAGCTCCCCCAGGGCAGATGCGGGAGGAGCTGCCCTGGGTCTTGTCCCAAGCCTGGGACTCTGAGCACTGGGTGGGGAAGACCAAGGGCTGGCCACTCTCTGTTGGAGCATGTCGGCTAGTTGTTGGCTCTGTCACAAACAAAATGAACCAACATAAATCGACCGCTTGAGACCCTTCTGATTTCCATTCTAGCCCTCGTATTGGTGCGGGCACCCGAGGACAGTCTTAGGGAAGGAGGAGGAAGACGATGACCCTGAGAAGGCGCTCAGGACAGAGTACTTTGAGGCTGAGCCAGAGGACTTGGTAGCTGGGATCAAGATCAAGCATGTGTCCAAGGTGCCACGCCCTGTGGGGACGGGCCAGGGCCACGGGGACCGCAGGGTCACAGGCTGGTGAGGCCTGCCACCCTGCCCTGTCCAGGGCTCCTTCTGATCTGGTAACCCTCCTCCAGGCCTCATTTCTCCTTGATTCCCATAGCTACCCTCTGACCAGCTGCCCCGGACACCCGCCACCCCTCAGGCTCTGTCCCTGGGGCCCAGTGTGGAGGCTCAGGGTCGAGTCAGCAACATGAGCTGCCCAACTTAACCTCTCACCAGCTTTGCAGTGAACACTATCTCTGCTCGCTGTACCCTATACCTGGGCTTCACAGGCCTTCTGATCTTGCTGGGACATGGGACACAGGGACGCTGCAGACCTTCAGGGTAGGGTTGGCCATAGAGGAGCAGGAAGCAGCATGGCCTCCGATCATTACAACACCTGAAACCTCCACCTCTCTGTGCGCTGACCGACGGTGCTGGGTGGGGACTCCTTCCAAGAACCACAGCGGGTATTCCAGAGGGGAGTAGGAGGGGCCCTTAGAAGTGAGGGTCCTGAGGGCCCTGAAGTCCAGGGCCACTGTCTGCCTTTCCTGCAGGTGTTCAGAGTGGGGAACAAGGGCAAGACAGCTGTCAGAGACCTGAACCTGAACCTGTACGAGGGGCAGATCACCGTCCTGCTGGGCCACAATGGCGCAGGGAAGACCACCACCCTCTCCATGCTCACCGGTGAGGGGCCACGGCCTGGGCGCCCCACCAGACCCTCCCTTCAGTGCCACCTTGGGGCCCGTGGCCTTGTGCCCTCAGGTGGCTGTTGTCCTTCCCCTGCTACAACGGATACAGAAGCTGACAGCTGGTGGTGCCATGGCCCCAGGGTCCGGGGGGCAGGACGGAGCCTCTCAGGACACACAGAAGCGGCTCCACCTTACTGGTTTTGTCCCACATCCACTCCTAGAAAGCTGTCCTGGATGAGTCAGCCCAGCTCTGACGGTCATCCTACCTTCCTGAGCACAGGCTCAAGTAGGGACTGGGCTCTGAGAGTGGTGTCCTCGTCCGTGCACACACTCGCGCATGCGTCTCTCATCCCTAACAAGGCGCAAGTCCCCACAGCGGGCAACCCCCACCCTCTTCTGTCTCCGATGGCCTATGTGGTAGGGACGGCCGGGCAATTGGTGGGGAAAACGAAGCGACACCGTGTGAACTCCTTGTGCGGACTGGTGGAGGAAGTTCATACTGAACTGAATCCCCGAGGTCTTCTGCTTGGCCCTAGGTCTCTTTCCCCCGACCAGTGGACGGGCGTATATCAGTGGGTATGAAATCTCCCAGGACATGGCTCAGATCCGGAAGAGCTTGGGCCTGTGCCCACAGCATGACGTCTTGTTTGACAACCTGACGGTCGCAGAGCACCTGTATTTCTACGCTCAGGTGAGCTGACAGGTGGCAGAATTTGTGGGTTGTCGTGGTTGCTCGTCGCCTACGTGCTTGGGCTCCTGAGACAGCCAGCCCGAGCCCTTAGCCTCCCAGCAAACCGGAACCTGTGCCAAGGAGCCCTTCCTCGGATCTGAAGCAGGGGGGCGGTGGTGTCAGGTCGCGGGGTCCAGCACAGGAAGGGAAGGAGACAGCCCCAAGGCTGGTGCTGGCTGGATGGGCCAGCCTCCCATCAGAAGCCCCTGCCAGATCTCTGTCCCCTGCTGTTTCAGCTGAAAGGCTTGTCGCGCCAGAAGTGCCCTGAGGAAGTCAAACGCATGCTGCACATCCTCAGTCTGGAGGACAAGCGGGACTCCCGGAGCAGGTTCCTGAGCGGGGGGATGAGGCGCAAGCTCTCCATCGGCATCGCCCTCATAGCGGGCTCCAAGGTACGGGGACAGCGGGGCCTGCAGCACACAATCTGGGCCTGGGACGTGGCTCTGCCATTGTCATAAGTCTGTTCCTCTGCCCTCCAGGTGCTGATGCTGGACGAGCCCACCTCAGGCATGGACGCCATCTCCAGGAGGGCCATCTGGGACCTTCTTCAGCAGCACAAGAGTGACCGCACCATCCTGCTGACCACCCACTTCATGGATGAGGCCGATCTGCTGGGGGACCGCATCGCCATCATGGCCAAGGGGGAGCTGCAGTGCTGCGGGTCATCGCTGTTCCTCAAACAGAAATACGGTGAGCGGCCAGCGGTGGGCAGGCGGGCGGGGTCCATTCCATGTGGGGTCAGTGTTGTTGGTCCTATGAGCTGGAGAAAGTGCCCACTGTTAACGTTCCTGAAAGGCCCTGAGATCAGACAGGGAGAGGCCTTCTCTAGATGTCCTGTTCTGCTGCCTCTGGACGGAAATCCAAGGCCCCAGGCAGAGGGACTTGTGAAAAAAAGGAAAAAATGGTGCAGGTAATCTTGATTTGGAACATTTAGGATGACATCGACCCTTTAGCAGTGGGATAGCAGTCTAGTGCTAGGGCCACCAAGAGCAGGGGTGCATTTGGAGAGGCTGAGTGTGCTCACCAGCATTGTAGCTCTGTCCAGGGCTGGTGGGCAGCGCATGGAATCAGCCCCCTCTTTGCGGTGTGAGCATGGCCTCCTTTCTTGAGGGCAGCTCATGGTCTGACATGGTCCTGGCATGCCAGGTCCCGTCCACGTCCCAACAACAGAAGGAGCAGAGATGGAAGACAAGCCCCCCTCCCCTTGGACATCCCAGAAGTTGTACCCCTCACTTCTGCAGCTTTCCCTGTCCAGCACACAGCCTCACCAACAGAAGGTGACCCAATGTGGTCACCGTCAGGCTAGGGGGAGGCTATAGAGGGTGGCCTTTGTCCTGAGGTTCTGTTGCCAAGAAAGCTGGGAGACAGGGTCCTGGAGACAGTTTCTACTCTCGCCTCTGAGACCTGAGGTCTGAAGTTCTGCTCAGGTTTCACCTTCTTATCATGCTTAGCACCCCTCCAGCGTCTCTCCCCACCTAGAAGGCAGGGGGCGAGAGCCTCAAGACAGCACTGGGGTGCCCCAAAACGTGTCCAGTCTGGTTCATTTGCCCCCGCTCTCCAGCCCCTTTCCCCTGAGCCTGCCCCATGCGAGCCTGAGGGCCCCGGGTGGGCCAGCAGGAGAGTGGGAGACAGTCTCCTGCGGCTCCCTGTGTTCCAGGCGCCGGCTACCACATGACGCTGGTGAAGGAGCCTCACTGCAACCCCGAGGGCATCTCCCGGCTGGTCCACCACCACATCCCCAATGCCACCCTGGAGAGCAGTGCTGGAGCAGAGCTGTCATTCATTCTTCCCAAGGAGAGCACGCACAGGTATGTGTGTGTCCCTGAGAGCACGCACAGGTACACATCCCAGAGAGAAATACACAGGCACAGGTCTGAGAAGGGAGCTCCATGTGTAGTCACTCGCCTTGAATTTTTGTGGCTTGGCCAATGGGCATCTCTCAGCTCCTGGGCTGCTGCCTCTCAGTGCGTAGTGATCTGCTTGCTGGGTCCGGGGTGCCAGGCCTCCCTGTGAGTAAGGGCCAGGAGATACGTACCTTGTACCACAAAGGAGAGTCAGTCATCACAGGGGTGCTCAGTGCTCCATGCCGTCCATACTCGGCACCTGGCTCACTCCTATCACCACAGTCTGCTCAGAATTGATGTGGAGCTGTGAATTTGTGTATCTTCTCAGTCTCAGAATCTGAGTGATGGACACATGCTCATAAACAGAGCAGACACCTAGGGTTGGGAGGTGAAAACCAAACCCTTGATTCACAATCAGAAACTTCGGAATGGAAAACTCAGCAGTACGATAGTCTCGCTACAAGCCCAAGCAAGTAGCGTGCTTTAATCACTGCAGTGTTTGGTGACTTAGATATACTATAATTTGTTTAACACTCACTCTATTATCATGCACCCATGTTTTTCAAAAAAATATGTTAATGAACATCCTTCTGGAAAACTCTTTGTTGAGATCTCCAATGTCCTCTTCAAGATAGATTCCGAATAGTGGGGCAAATATTTCCAATTCCCTTCTGGTAAGGTGATGTGTTTGACTTCCCCAGCAGCAGGGTAGGAGAGTGCCCATCTTACTTCACATCTGCCAGCTTTGAGTAAAATTTCTTTTGAATATTTATGTATCTAATGGGTGAGAATGGCACATACTTGCTTAATTGGCATTTTGGATTTCTTCTGTTCCTGCTGGCGGGAGGTTGGTCGTCTCCAGTGCTTATCGGGCTTAAGCCCTGCTTCTCTGGGTGTTGCGTGTTCAGTCTCTTGCTCGTCTACCAAAGTGTTTTATGTATTAACATCAACCATTTGTGTTGCCACTTTTTCCAATTTGTTGTTGCCTTTTATTTTGAGGGGATTTTTTTTCCCTGTAGGTATTTTACATTTAATGTGTCAGATCTTTTTCCTTGTGATTTCTTCTTAGAAAATACTTCCCTCCCCAGCAAGTAAACGAATATTCACCCATTTCTTTGGGTTTCTTTTGTGATTTCACAGAAATGTACCCTATCAAAGAATGCCTTATAGGCCAAAGTACTCAAAAAATGTCATGGGGTCGGCGGAAGAATGGGAAGGGAACAAACCTGACTTTATTTTTTGAAATGGAGTCTCAAGGAACTAACCTTCCCTTGCCCCTCCCCCATACTGCACGGAGGCACTAGTTTAGAAACAAATTATCTAGAAAGTCACTGAGAAGGAACTCATCACTTAGTTCATCACTTGGGGTCTTTTTCTCAGGTTTGAAAGTCTTTTTGCTAAACTGGAGAAGAAGCAGAAGGAGCTGGGCATCGCCAGCTTCGGGGCCTCCGTCACCACCATGGAGGAAGTCTTCCTCCGGTCAGTAAACGTCTGTCTGCCTTAGTCTGGGGCTCAGCCACATGGATGCTTTTCCTAAAATGTGACGATAAAGCGTCCCCTTGATTATCATCTGGAACACCCAGACATGGACACACAGCCCAGGGTGGGAGAGGGCAGTGGACTGGCTGTCAGAGCCCAAGTTCGTATCACAACCCTGTTATTACAAACTCCCCCATGTTGGGTCTGTGTGCGCCTCCCCTGGGGTCCCTCCTGGGAGTGCCTTGGCAGTGTCAGGCCTGCCAGGCTCCTCTCAGGTGTAGGTGATGATCCCGGAGCACATCTGCATCCATAACGAAGATGTGAGATTCAGCCCTCACCCCTCAGACCTGCGGGGTGAGCTCCAAACGATTAATGTGTGTATCAGACAGTTCTTGAATGCTTTATTTGGCACATAAAGTGCTGAGAACAAGAAATACAGAAATAAGTGTGAGGTAGATGTTTTTCTTTGAGGATCGCACAGCCTAGAGGAGGCAACAGAGTAAGTGGATACAAACACAAGGCTGCCCCAATCTGGTGGCTCTAGGCTTCGGTGTGGCCCCAGCACAGCCGGAGGCCCCAACACTGGGCTCTGCCACGGAACATGCCAGCCTCACCACTGCCCCCCTCCATGCCCGTTCTGGGGTCACCCCTCCTGGAACACACTCATCTGCCTCCTGGTCTCACTGTGGCAATGAATGCCCCAACCCACAGCTTCCCACACTTTCTGTGCTGCCCCGAGCCTCCTTGTCTCCCTCTGGAAACCCTGGTTATAAATGCTGACTTCAGTCAGTCTCTCCGTGAGATTAGAGGTCTTCATGGGCAACCCTGTCTGGTTGTCTTTCTGTCCTGGACTTTGCTTGACTGCCATAGCTGGTGTCCCGGATATACTTACTGATGAATGAATGAACAAATGAAGGAACCAGCTGATGAAGCAGATGGCCTTCTACCCTAGTGCCTCTGCCAATTGCTCTCTTTCTGCCTCCGCTGCCCCCCTCCCTCCCCAAGGCCCAGAGTTGTGACCAGGCCTCTGTGTCTCGGCCAGGGTTGGTAAGCTGGTAGACACCAGCATGGACATCCAGGCCATCCAGCTCCCTGCCCTGCAGTACCAGCACGAGCGGCGGGCGAGTGACTGGGCTGTGGATAGCCACCTCTGCGGGACAATGGACCCGACAGACGGCGTCGGCGCCCTGATTGAGGAGTGCACCGCCGTCAAGCTCAACACGGGGGTGAGGGCCAGGCGGCAGCGCGGGAGATGGGAGACCCTGAGCCCCGGCATTAGAATCCACAAGGGCAGATGTGGGCGTGGGGG